TACTTTTCTGCTATTTATAAAGAAACGTCTCGGCCGATCGTTCCACAAAACTGACAAACGATAGTCCTCATCGAGATACATCGAATGGCTTTTAAATTTTTTAAATCGGCCCAGCCGTTTTCGAGAAAACGTCGATTTACGGCAAAAAATCTGTTCACACACACACACACACACATACTTTTTCCAAATTTGGTCTCATTCGATTCAGAATGGCTTGAAACGTCGAGAAAACATAAAATTAGCGAATCGGATTTTTTGATGAAAACATAAACTTCTCCTTCGGGAAGTTAACAATGTAAACCTATTTTGTAATTAATTGATTCAAAATGTTTTTCATAAAATTGTGGGAAGCTCAAGTTATATAATTCGAGAAATATCAGTCCAGATCTTTTTCAGATAATAATTATTAGTTCATATTTATGCAACAAATGTTTAAATAATCTATTTTTTTACAATATTTTTTCCGGTATATTGCGTCCGGGTTCGAAATATACATTCATTAATTTCCCGTAGGGTAAGTTGTAGTAAAAAAATCGAAAATGAAAATTTTTATTTATCTTCACGTTTCAAAGGTTTCTTAACATTTTTGCATACCTTATAATTAGAAAAAATGAATGTGTTTCGAATACATTTTTTTACATAAATTACAAATACAACTGATACGAATAATTTGAAAAACATTCGATTCGTATTGACGAAACGTGCTGATTTGTTTTTGGCATGTGTATCCGTTTCGAAGATGGGGCAAGAAGAGCCAAAAATGGTAATTCAGTTTTTGAGAGAACGGAGCGCCAGATTTGAATGATTCAAAAATCAGTTTATTTGTAGTTTATTTGAACAGTAAAAAATGCCATTTGGCGGAAAAAAATGTTCATCAATACTATGCACACCAAATTATCAGATATTTTATAGAAATTTTAATGTGTACACATTTTGTGTCAATTTTTTGGGTTCCGTACCAAGAGTTTTAATTTTAAACTTTACTTATACACAAATGTCCTCGACATTATCGACAGTATGGAATAACTGATTTGAATGATTGAAAAAACATGCGGTTTGTACACGATCGCAAGACGTTTTTGCAAAAGGCACGTCTGGCTGTTTTGGAGTGCAGTTTTTAAGAGAGCAGATCATCCGATTACATTAATTCAAAAAACATTTTGCTTGTGTAGACGATGTGAACCAAAATACTTATACAGAAGATTTCAAAATTTCGAAAATTTTCAAAACAAAAAAAAGTTATTAAAAAAAAACAGTTTCCAAAAACTTAAATTTTCGAAAATTCTCATTTTCAAAAAATAAAATCAAAATTTTGAAAACTTTGAAAAAATATCAAAGTTTTTAATCTTGAAAAACGTTCAGTTCATTACCAAAAAAAAAATCAAGAATAAAAAAAAATGAACAAATATCTTGAAAATATACACAAAAGTTGTTTGTAGAATACGCTCGCCGCCCAATTTAATTAACACTTCTAAATTTACAATATTTGTAACAAATAATTTATTTAAAAATATTTAAAACAATTGTACACACTAGTGTATTATTATTTAATCACTCCACCAACGATAAATTTTTAACCCTCCGTCGGTCGGCGTGGTCTGGCCAGACTTTTTTCGACTTCAATTAAAAAAAAAAATACTTCTAATAATCCTATCGACTTGAAATTTCTTGACTTTTCCTAAAATTTCATTAGCTGTCGATCAATAAAAAAGTCAGGACGAAAAAATGTATAGAAAGATAATTATAAGGATATTCACTTTTTTATACTTCGAACGGTCGGGAAGGTCTGTCTAGACCATCCATAAGGTAAGGGGCCCAGTTTCTGACCTTTTTAGAGTGACGGTGGAGGTTAAACTATAATAATTAATATAAAACTTAACTTAATGAAGAAAATTATAATTTTATCTATTAGTTTAGGATTTTTAAAATAAAGTAATGTGCATAAAAAAATTATTTGAACTAAATTTATATTTTAAATTGACGTTTTAGAAATTGACATTAAGAGCTCCAGTTTCTGACCCTCAGAATTCTTCGTGTGGCAGTTTCTGACCCTGACCGTAGCCCAATTTCTGACCCTCAAATTTAATCATGATTAGGTTATGAAGTGCTTACCAATTTTAAATAAACTGAAATTATTATTAAAATAAATAAATTAAATATTTATTCTAAAAATATACAGTTTGTTAAAATTTAACGTATAAATAGTTCAAGTCTTGTTATAACATATTACACAAACAAAAAAAATTAAAATTAATTATTTAAATTACTTGGACTTTTTCTTTATTTTAAGAGCTTTTGTTTCTTTTTTTCTTCAAGTTTTTCTTTTTTAATTATTTTTTCTGCCTCCTTGATGGCTTTATTTTTGGACCTTTCAGCTTTTTTCAATTCTTTTTCTTCTTCTAATTTTCGTTTCTTTGCTTCTTTGTCGTCATAATATTTTAACCACGAATCAGATGTATAAACTGTCGGTACCTTTTCCTTAGCTTTTCGTTTCTTCAAATTATTAATAATTTTATCACTTAAAAGATGTATTTACAAGATTTAAATACAATCTTTCATTTATACCAATGAATATTAAATGTAAATTTATCACTTTACTACGAAAAATAGTAAAAAAAATATAAGATAACAATAAATATTATTATTTTTACATTTAATGAACAAGTGACTAAAAACATGTGACAGATAACCTAGCTTTTAGAAGGTTAGAATTGCAGGGTCAACAACTGCGACATACACTTAAAATTGAGCCTAGTTATTGACCCTCAAATTTCAGTAATAAAACTAAATTTAATATGTTTTATAAATATTTTAAAATAAATTTTAATTAATTATTGACTTATTTATATATTTTTAGTTAGATTTTCGTACTTACATCATAATTAGTGCACGAACTCAATTGTCGTAGCTCCTTACATAAACTGTTTAGACTAAAGCTAAAAAATGGCTTCTACAGTCCCTTTTGGTTTAAAAAATTTTTATTTAGTTAATATTTTTTATATTTTTTTAATTGACATTTATGAGGCATAGAATAAATTACTGTCAATTAAGAAAAAAATTATTTTCACATTAAATGTATAGTTTTTTAATTAATTCCAAAAAAAGTTGAAAAGGTCAGAAACTGGGCCAGGGTCAATAACTGGGTCTTTTACCTTACATTTTGTATGAAATATACGCTTTTTGATATATGTAAACCAGTATTTTGTCTTTTTTCATGGTATTTTATATTCAAACTGCGTTGTTTATAATCTTTGCTATGTGTTATAACATGAATGTTAGTATTTTCATGACGAGAGTTCCTTGAAAACCTACGAAACTTATTGGTAATCGCACACAAACACACATCGCAATCGGATGAATAATGCACACATTATCAACAATTTTTCTACCCGTACTGCGTTCTAAATTTTTTTTGGCAAACCTGTAGTGAAATTATATTTTCACTTTGAGTTTTACAGCTCATTTCAAAGGCGACGCACCTCATTTCGTTTTCATTTGAATTTCACATTCATTTCAAAGACGCCGAAAAAGAATAAATATTATTTTTCATTGATTTAAAACAGAAAAATTAACAAAAAAAGCGACGATTTTTTTATATTTCTTGATTTTTTTTATATAATCGTTAATATATGACACCAAAAACTCATTTATCCCATATAAATGCATGTAAAATGAATGGTGGTCCATCCAGACCTTTCCGACCGTTCGAAGGTGAAAAAATATCCGACCGACGGAGGGTTAAAGAAATCGTAACCACTGTAAGTATGTATTCGTGAACATGTTGTATGTAACAGGAGCATTGCTATCGTTTCGTTAGATGAGAGGAATTTCATAATAGTTAAAGAAAAGGCATATTCGTACCTTAGCACCTAAATATTATGTTCTGAATACGTTCTCCTACTTAATCTCGTACCAGTCTTACTTATTATCGAGGTGAAAAAATCCTCTTTTTACATTCGAATATCATCATTTGAATTTATGAAACGATTGTAAAGAATACATATTTAATGGATTCACAAAAATATTAAAGGGTTCATTGAAATATTAGTCTCCGTTACGAAATATATTTAAACTAGTTGGTATTGGTATTTTGTCTTTAGATAAGTTATATGAACTTCCCGATATGTGCACATAATCGATTTAATTTACGATAAATAAATTAATTTATGAGTGGTTAAAAGTATTCGAAGTGGATTTATTACATACACATTATTGAAAATCGAACACGTCAACCCGGTAGGAGTATTTTCTGAAAGCAAATTTTCAAAAACTAATCAGGTCGATTCCCAACCAATATCTTTCGAACAGTTTTTGAATTTTCAAAATCGATTCAGAATTGCGGGCTAAAACGTGGACGAAAACTTTTTCACTTTTTTGCGATTTACAAAGAAACGGCTCGGCCGATCTTCACACAAACGCTAGTCCTCGTCGAGATACATCGAATGGTTTTTGAATTTTTGAAATCGGTCCAGCCGTTTTTGAGGAACACACACACACATACTTCCTCCAAATTTATTCTCATCCGATTCAGAATAGTTTGAAACGCCGAGAAAACATAGAATTAGCGAATCGGATTTTTTGATGAAAACAAACTTCTTCTTCGGGAAATTAATAATGGAATATGATCTTTTGAAATATATTCAACTTGAAATTAACTAGAAATATTTTACAACCGATATTTAAGCAACAGTAGTGATTTTTATATGTTTACTCGACAAATATTCAATGTTTTATGAATCCATGGAAAAATTCTCATTAGCTTTTGTTTTCTTGGATGGTTAGTGATGGTACAGATGGATCGATTCATTGCTTCCATACCTTTGCTTTGATAATGTATAGTATAAATATTTTGGAGAAATAATTGTTGATTGTATCTTAAAACTAGTGTATTTTTTTTATCGTCTATATTGATGAGTGTATTATTTATTTAATTCATGCGGCTTCAAACTTGCATCGATTGATCGAATATAGAAAAATAATTACATACTTCTTTTTTTCAGCATGTGGTACAAGCGGGTATGGGCGCCCCGTTTCCGGCGACACCACAATTTCCACCAACACTTCCTGGTGGGGGTGGCGGAGGAGGCGGTGGTCCGGCAGGCGGCGGAGCTGCAGCGGCTGCGGCTGCAGCCGCCGTCGGTGCTGCCGCTAACGAACCTTTATTAGGAGGGCAACAAAACGTTAAACAAGATACGTCGGTAGCAGTTACGGTCGCTGGTCTAGTAAAACATGATTCACCTTCCACACCTGCAGCCTGTGCGGCTGCCGCAATGCAAACGGCTGTTGCTCAGGCGCAAGCACAAGCTGCCGCTCAAGCGGCTGTCGCCGCAGCACAAGCTGCTGTTGCCGCCGCACAAGCCGAATTCTCTCCCCAGCCATCCCAGCAGCAATCATCACAACAGCAAACGAACGCACAACAGCAGCAACAACAAGCCGCGCAACAGCAGGCGGCTATGAACGGGGCAATCACTGAACAACAAAACGTGAGTGATTACATAAAGCATGTAGTTCCAAATTACACACACACACACACACACACACACACACACACACACACACATCCATATAATAAACATATAAACTTACTATATAAACAGAATTAAAATTATACGTACCAAACCAGTTTAAAACTATTTTATATATTATTTGACAATTATAACATCAATATGTTGTTGTATATATATATATATATATATATATATATATATATATATATATATATATATATATGATAAAATTGTTTCTTGGGCATCCATCCAGTCACACGTAACACGTAACACGGTCTCCAAACTGACATGTTCGTTTTGGAAAAACCTTTTTTATAATAAAATATATTATTTATTTTAATTTTACTATTTAAAAAAAAAAAAAAATTCATAACTTGATGTCTTATCAATTTTTTATTTCCTATTTAATTATTTTTTAGTGGAATTTTGTTGTGTTTTTTGTGTTATTTTTTAAAACTTATTTGTATGCACTGAAGATGGGTCAAATCAAGACCCGAAACGTATGTTTCTCTAAATAAAAACATTTTTCAATAAAACTGTTTTTTTAATTACTGGATGGATGCCCAAGAAACAATTTTATCATATTATTTCACCATCTGAAGAAAAACCTCTCGCTTTATATATATATATATATATATATATATATATATATATATATATATAGAATTTTGAAAAATAAAATCAAGTAATCAAAATATTTCGAATTCTGAAAAAGAAGAAGAAAAGAAAATATCAAGTGGTAAAAATTGTTCAAATATTAAAAAAATCAGACTTACATACATTAACTAAATTTTGATAGCTGTCAAAAAGCAAAGAAGAAGAACATCTTATTTACACATTGTGAATTTAAAAAAATGAAAACAGATTCAGCAAGCCTACTTAAGTCAACATTTTGTTCAATATATAAAATAATGGGATTGTTTAAATCAAAAGTGTGTTTAAAATTTGCATATGATCAGATAACATTGTTTTGTATTGATTTTTATTTCTTGAATTATAATTATGTTGAAGCATTCTCTTAGGTATATTGTGAACTCTCTCAAATATAGAATTTATCACAATTATTACAATTCAATTTGTAAACTAAAAGAAAACCTTCTTCAGAAAATATCTTTTTTAAAAAATAAGTAAACTGCCTAAAAATGGTAAAGAAATAATACCTTTATATTTAAGATGAAGAAATAATTAAACTAGTATCAACAAGTAACAAAATGTTATCATTATTAATGTTTATTTTATTATTATTTAAATATTAAATACGGTTTTTTATAATAATATTAACTTACAAAACAGATATGAGTTCTGTACAAGAATTTAGCGGATTAAATCTAAATTTTTATTCCAAAAGATAAAATTACTCAAAACAATAGCTCTATCAATTAATGAAATAATAATAGAAATTTTGATCGAAGATTCGCGACTTCGTTGCGAATTTTGTGGTTGTTCAGTTCTGTAATTGAGTATATGTCTTTATTATTTTTGTAAGGTTCCAGATCTAGATAAAAAAGATTAAATGGTTGTATGGTTGTACGATTACGATATTTGTTACATTCTTAACGTTGTGACCCAATGATTCAAATGCGTTATCTATTTCAGTTGTGTCTGTTGTGTGGTAGAAATATCTGATCACTACCCTGTAGTCCCGTTCCTCTCTTAGTTGATGCCGCACCTTGGTTACACGCAGATATCTAGCTAGTGTTCTAAACACATCGAATTTAAGCAAAATATTTTGAGCACGTTGTTCTTTAATGTACGCACGTGATAATCATTCGATGATATAACAGTGTTTATTTCTAGTAGTTCAGATTATCTATGTCATAGATAAAGATCGGCGGTGGTTGCTGTACGGGGCTATTAGTATTATTTTCTCGAGTATTGTTGTTAATGTTATGTAGTGTACTACTGTCATTTAGTGGTAGAAATCTGTTTTGTGTGATGATTGGCACAGCAACTTACATTTTTTGCTATTGCTTTGTGGTACGGTCTTGGTTCTTCGAACTGTCTGTTTGTATTTTAACACTCACTGTTTGTTTGATTTAGATGTTTACTCATCGGTTGTCGATGAAGAACTCGTATATTAATTTGAAAATATATTTCAACACGTCTTCAAAATTAAATTATTTTTTATAATTTTTGCAATATAATATTTTTATTGTAAATTATGTTTACGATCTTTATTTTATCAAGTATATTGGTTAAACTCAACCAAATTTTTATCATGAAATTTGATCACATGCTCGAATATGAACCGGCATATTTTAAATTAATTCGAAAAGCAAAATCTTAATTCATAATACGCCCAATCAATGAATCGGCATCCTATTTAGACATTCTATGTATGCACTACCTTAAAAAAATTGCTGATATTTCATGATGAAACAGGTGCAAATATTGATAAAAAAAATCGTTATAATCAAATTCGGTAAGCATGTTTTCTTTAGTTTAGTTTTAGTATAGTGTTTATTTCGAAATCACTTGATTTTAGAAGTTACATTTGCCTTCTATTTCATTCTCGCATATTTGACCGATATTTATAGAATAGTTCAAATGATCTATAATAATACACCGTATGATGTCAGTCGCTGATTCATCACAATTTTATGTGTTGCTTGAGTGATCAATTTTCACAATAATTTCACTATTCCTAACTTGAATTTGCTGCGTCGAGTCGCTTAATCGAAATACTTTCGTCAAACAAAATTTACCAGGTCGTTAATATTCTTGATTATGGTGTCAGGAAGTACCGTCGATACCGTTTTTATGTAATCGAAAATTAATAAGATATTTGCGCTATACATTAGCCTACACATCATATTTGCGTGTAAGTAGTACACGTTAAGTAGAATAATATAATAGACCCTGCATTTTGTCGACGCTTAATGTCACAAGATATCTTTGTACTGTTAAAGTTCAATAACCACTCGATACGAGCGGCAAGTTTACTTGACGGGCGTGGATGGCCCCACACAGCCGAGCGTCACCATTACGTGACGGACGTGATACGGACGTGTACGGCCGAGCGTCAGTAGTTACTCGTGACAGTAATTCTAAGTGTCACCATATTGTCTAATGGCCAGCGAACTATTTGACTAACCTGTTTTCACAAAGCTAGAAAGTTTTTAAATGATATTTTATTACCGGTCCATTAAGAAAGTACCATTTTGGCAGTCATCTCGCGGTTACGTCATCATCCCTTCGATTTTTGAAAATATCAAATAAAGTTTTTATAACCTGCTCCAAAATGGCTTAAATTATGAGGGTGTATTCTTTTAACTGTTCAGAAAGTATGTGTAAACAGCCAGAACATTCTGACGGTTGCAACGGTCTGCCAGTCGAGTACATAATTGTACTATATAATAGTCAGGACGCCCAAGGGTATGGGCGCATTGCCATACATAATTGGCCCCATTCTGGTATATAAATAATTAATACGCCATTTTGAAGGTCGCCTTGAAAAAATTAAAATATATCAATAATAAAGTTTGTATCTCACATTATGGCCGAGATATCATTGAAAATAGGCCTCCTTTCCAAACTCACTTTTTGACGTAAACATAAGATGTCGAAAAGAAATTACGTGATTCTACTCACATTGGCTTAGACCACATAATGTAGAACATATGGTGCCAAATAATCATTCATAATTAGCTAAAAATGATAAAACAATTTTTCAATTAATGTTTTCAGGTAGTGCGTTTCGTTCGATTACTTTCTTATTAGCGTTATTCGAACGCCTATTGTTTTTTTCTTCTGCAGTACTGCTGCGAATATTGTTCAAATCAAATTTGTGTAACACATTGTAAAATTGAACAAACCAGAGTCAGTACAACCGCGCGTAACGCTAAAATAGTACCCCGCATCGTGCACTGCTCCGAACGAATTCTATGCGGGGTGATGCGGGGTACTCTTAGCGTTACGCGCGACTGTACAGGCCCTAGTTTGTTCAATTTCCCATTGTGTTCCACAAATTTGATTTGAACAATGTTATTTTTGCTCGAAAATTTAATTCTGGTACGGGAGGTACCAGCAATTTAACTTAAGGCACGATGCTATGCATCACTAATTCATTTTAAGTTTATCATAAATAAACTGTCGTCATTGTCCACATTTTGTAAATCGAGATTTGGCGCCGCTCCTTATTTTCGTTTCGCAATTCATGTGATGAGTGCTAAAGTCCTATATTGTTTATTGTCTGAAAGTTTAATATTGTAAATGTTAGATTCGAACTTACATTTAAACCCCTTAAATTATCTAGTTATTAGTGCCGTTCATAGTAATAGTACAGTTTTTTTTCTGTGCGAATGCACCTTATGGGATGTTGTACGGAAACCACATTGTAAGAGAGAATTATTATAGCAAGCTGTAATATTAAAAGCGGGTTTATCTGCGAATTTGTCTATGAAACAATTTTTTTTCAAAGTGTGAATCCTATTTATGGGCTCGCTACATACATATTTTTTTATTTTACACCTAAAATAGTCTAGCAGGCACTCACAAGATCACATGAGAAAATACACTAAAATTGTGGATGAAGAACTTGTCGAATGTCGAATTTAGGGAACCATGCAGATGGGGATACCGACATAGCGATTGTTTTTTATTTTTATAATATAAAGTATTTTAAGTACTTTATTTTTTTTATTAATTACAATCTGTCTTTATAAAAATATAATGATTTTAATACTTAACATTTATTCTCAAAGGTTTTTTTTTTTTATTTATTTTTATTGGCTTTGTAAGCTTGTACATTGGCCATTATCTACAGAATTTCACATCTACAAAAATTAAGACTAATACATACATATATATATATATATATATATATATATACACATATACATATACATATACACATATACATATATACACATACATACACATATATATAAATATATATATATATATATATACACACATACATACACATATACATATACGCACATACGCACACAAAGACACATCTATACACATATACA